AACCTAGAGCAAGCAAGAGGGCAATGGAGCGACCTGTGTGCCAAGAAAGTGAAGCAGGCACACGGGTCGCACCCGCCGACGCCTCCCCTCTCCTCCCCTATATGTGCAATAAGACTCTAAACTTGCCAATTTCCACCTATGTCTATACCGCATCGAGTTCGGATGACCAATACAAGAACATAAATAACTATAGAAACCGCAAAAGCATACACTCTGCATCTAAAAGCATTTTTAGTGAACATAAATATACTTACTTTGAAATTTTTATCTAAAGAGAAAGAAAATTAATTATTGGGGAGTGAAAAGTGTGCGTGACTCCAGTCAATTTTGATGCCATGCCCCTAACACTGTCCCTATTCTAGTCCCTACCTCTAAGCCAGTCTTTACGGATGGCTGGCTTCACCACCCAGACTGGCTGTGGGATTGGAATTGTTTTCAGGTTTGGGGTTGGGATGGGGGTGTGGGATTGACCTCCCTAAAACTAACCTAACACTGTCCCTATACTTAGTCAGTACAGGATGGCACGGTCACACACCCAGACTGACTGGCAGTCAATCCATGGCAGCACAAGGACCGCCAGATTGACCTCCCGATACATGGCATCACATTGGCTAGAGGAGCACACCAGCACCCTATACAAACATTTTCTAATCAATACATAGGAAAAATGATAAGAAAACATCATATGGGTATGTTTTTGCAAAAAAGCTTTTTGGCATAAGACAGTTATATCAACAGATGATTTCAACACAAGAATCAAAATGTTGAATATTTTTGGTTATGTGTAAAAAATAAATAGATGCGGCTGTAGAAAAAGCGCAACACTATTTAAAGTCAAAAGTGAAAAAAATTACCAGCGAGTCCCTTCACTTTGCTCCAGGATGATCCTAGAGCAAAGAAAGGGCAATGGAGTGACCCGTGCACCAACCAAATGCTGCAGGCACACGGGTTGCCCGCGCCGATAACACTCCTCTCCTCCCCTATATGTGCAATAAGACTTTAAATCAATAAATGGGACACACATTAAGAAAACCTGATATGCAATAACCTTTTTTGCAAAAACATACCCATAAGACAGTAATATCAAAAAATATACCAAAGACAATAATTGAAACATTCAATATACTTGGTCATGTGTAAAAAAAGATGTGGATGTAGACAAGGCGCAAAACTATTTAAAGTCAGCAGTAAAAAAATCGCCAGTGGGTACCTTCA